AGTGATCATTAGAAAATTAGCTTGTAGGCATGCAAATATTTCTTCATAATGTTCAGTTACTAATGTGCTGTAATCTATTAGAGTATGGCTAAGAGGCATTAAACAATTAATTTACACAGCAGATTATTCACACAGAATTCCTAATAAAATGAGCTTTAAAATGCTATTATTTTAAAACATTCTAAAATGGACCTTTACAGCAATATAGTAAACCACTCAGGGGCACCAGGTGAGTGAACAGGACGTAGCTGCCCTCCCTGATCAAATAGCCACAGGCCACCCTCCAGCCAGGCTCCATGCCTGCCCTTTGTGCTTCTTCTTCTGTGAGAACCAGGCACACCCATGCAGCAGTCCCTGCTGACCCCTCCTAGGTGGACCTGCTTCTGGTCATGAGGGTCACCTGGTTCTCCCAGCATTCCTAAACTTGACCCTCACCAGGGCCAGTGCCCAGGTGTGGACCGTTCCAAGAGCCCACTCCCATGGTCTCAGGCTCTAAGTGAATCTCTCCTACTACTCACTTGGAATGTCATCTTCTGTTGTCCCCTTGCCACTGCAGAAGCAGATGCAGTCAGACCCACACAAGCTGGACTTGGGACTGAAGCCTGAGTTCCTGAGCCGCCCACCAGGCCCCAGTCTCTTTGGAGCCATCCACCACCCCCATGAACTGGCTCGACCTTCAACTTTGTTCTCTGCCTCTGGTGAGTTCAGGGGGCAATGGAGTGAAAAATGTGGTCCTCAGGTAGCCAAACAGATAGGTCTGGACCCTGTGCTCTCACTCACTCACCACCTAAATGACATCCTGGTACACCTGGAAGGGAAAGAGACCGTCCTCCCCTGCAGGGACTCTGGAGCTGTGTGTACCAAACCAGTGCAACCCACAGCATGTCAGATTGTCAGATGCCACCGAGAAAGACGGGAAGATCCAAGGGCCAGTCAGAAGTAAAAGGGGTGCCGGGAACTGTGGGGACACGCACGGGCAAGGGGTGGCTTTGCACTGTGACAGTTGGCTGTGTTTCAGGATCTAATGGTAAAGAAACCCAACTGAGCTGGTTGTCAGGGTTGGGCTGTGGTAGAGAAGGTGGTCCACCTGGCTTTTGTAAATACTTAAAAATGGCAGCACTAGGTTGACTCTGGTGACAAGTGGCTTCATGCTCACTGTGGACTTGAGTGTTGATGGGCTCCCTGCTTCACTGGCTGGCCTGCTGCCTCCCATGGCTCATGTTGGGGGCACATGGTCTCCCACGGAGGCAGAGAGAGTTGCAAGAATCCTCATCCTAGGCCTTGTTTCCAGAGCAAGGGGACCACTCTTGAGGGTCAGAGGAATCTGCTGAGGTCTCGGGCTTTCCTGTTGGTTCTGTCACATTTGAAGGCTCTGTTGCCATGGAATCTGGCTCTGAGACATGGCCACACTAAGAGCAGTTTTTGGAGAGAAATAGATTTCTCCCTGGCTTTCATTTGAGCCAAAGTAGATGAATTGCATCTTTTGCTTTGATAATTCTGGAACTGTAGGCATCCCTGAGGCCTGGGTGGAGTGAAGCATGGTCTCCACTGAAACTCTCAGGAGCTTGCACTGCAGACAGCGTGTGGCCAAAAGTCTGTTGAGGTGGCAAGTGGTGGGCCCTCGGAAAGTCCCAGAGCATGCACATGCTGTGGACCTGGGGGATCCTCTCTGCACTCCCAGGTGGAAAACAAGCCACCAGGTGGACCACAGCCCAGGTCCCTTCAGATGCTGAGAGGCAGTGCCTGATCCACACTTCTCCCATGCTGGTGGCCCTGACAGCCCAGGGACAGTCCTCCTGCACTGTCTTTTCTTGAGGGAATTTGCACTTATTTATAGGAACTTAGACAAAATGCCAGGCATTATGGAACCTTGTTGGTAGATGGGTAAATATAGGTCCTGATTACGTTTGAATTTTGCCCCAAAATGGTTATATTATAAAACTTTAACCTGGTATTTATTACTAGTTAATGTTAGTTAAATTCACCATTTTTATCTCACTGTCAGAGACTAATGCCTGATATACACAGCAGGGTGGAGCTCCCTTGGTGCCACGCCCCTCCAGGCCACGCCCCCTGGCAATGAGCTGTGAGTGGCCCTGCCCCATGGCCTGAGCTATGGAAGCATTGTCCTTCCCTAACTCATGCACATCTGGTCCTCCCTTTCCTTCTTTCCTTCCTTCCCCAGCCACCTCAGGAGAAGGATTTGAGGTGACTTACAAACATACATATCAGGTGTGATAAAGAGTTGAGAAGCAAATGTAGATAGGGGGAACCTGTGAGGAAGGCAGCCTCAGCATGGACCAGGATGCCCTGCAGGCACGGGGTTTGTTACTGAATCCACGAGGAACCTGGCTCTTCCTGGCACCCAAGGAGAGGCTCTGCCCTGCTGGGAAAGAGGAGAGGGGCCAGGCAGGCATGGGCCTCACCCCAGCAGACTTTCTGGGGTCTCCAGGCCTGGTGAAGCAGGCTGCTCCTCGAAGCTGCTTTCTGTAAGCCCTGACCTTGGTGGTGTTTGACTCACCAGGTGCTGCACACCCCACCGGGACCCTTTTTGGGCCACCTTCTCATCACAGCAACTTCCTCAACCCTGCTGCTCACCTGGGTGAGTTCACGGGGGCAAGGTGGCTCCTGCTGCGCCTACCAGCACATGGGGAACCGTCCTCCATAGTCACTCGCCACTGGGGCCCAGTCAGCATGTGGCACCACCTCAGGACTCACTGCCGCCTAAACCACCTCCCTCGCCAGTATGTCTGTGCTAGTCCTGCTCTGCCCTGGGTTAATGGTGGGGAACAGCTGGGGACAGCTTGTCCTGGGTGCCTCAGGGACTTGGAGTCCAGGGCATTCTGTCCCTCCCTGGGAGGAAACATCCACACCTTCTACAGCCAAGGCACCTTCGGCAGGTGGAAGAAAGACAGGCTGATATTACAGAGGCTCCTGGTTTTGTAGCCTTTATTTACTGATATTTTCTGCATGTGGCCAAGCAGACGCAGGGTATGGTAGGCCTTCACCCCTGGGAATGTAAGGAGTGGTCTTAATTCTGTCCAGTGAGAGGCTGCAGAGCACCCTCCTGGGAGAGGTGCGGGAAGACACCTTGAAGCACGGGGCTCCTGTGTCCCTCGGCAGGGCAGGGACACAGTCCTCATGGGTACTTACCAACCCCACTAGGAAGGCAAGCCAGGTGTGGGTGGGACCGGGATTGGCTTTGCTTCGCCCACCCACCCCCACCCCACTGCTCCCGTCCCACTGGGGAATCTGAGCCCTTCCTTCCTCCTGCCTTTGTTTGCAGAGCCTTTCAATCGGCCATCCACCTTCATGGGCCTAGCAACAGTTGGTGGCAATGCCTTCGGGGGACTTGGAAACCCGTCAGTGAGTACCTCTAGCTTTCCATACCTGCCTGGACTCTCCTCTGACGCCAGACCTTCCAAGATGAAGGAAACTATACTCTTGGAAATGAACTCGAGTCATATAATTGCAATGGCAGGCTTACACAGTGGAGTTGGTGGATGTGTGCAAAGCCACTGGTTTAAGGAGGCCACTGTCCCATTCATCCCTAGGGCCAGAGACAGTGATGTAGCTGATGGCTGCAAACAGTTGACTCCCGTCTCTTCGACCCAGGGGCTTGCCATAGCCTCTACTAGAAGCAAAAGCACCTGTGGCTCTCGTGGGGTTGAAATAGTGCAGTGAAGAACTGCAGGACCAGGCCCAGAGCCATCAAGACCTGTGGCATGTCCTTGTGGCCTGGAGAGCCCTACAGCTCTCTGCTACTAGTCTCTAGTAGGAGGGGCTGCCAGCCCTGCGTGTCCTGGATGCCTCACAGTCTCTGGATGTGCAGCTGATGGTCTTGCAGACATGTCTGTTCCTATTTGGGGAGCAGAGGAGACCTAAAGTGTAGCTCTAAAGTGAATGAGGGCTCTTTAAGGGACAGCCTGTAGGGCTTCTGCATGTGTTCAGGTGGAGGTCCTGAGTGGTCTCGGGGGCTCACTGTAGTTTGCCCATGTTGAGAAGACAGGAAGCAGGGTCTGGCAGGGAGAGGAGACGGGGTTCCAAGTTGATGACATACACCGTCACAGCCGCCCTTCTGCATGCTCAGAGCCTCTGCATGAGCTAGATATGTGTGATCAGGTGATCCTGACACCTGTTTGGTCCCTTTCATTTTTAATGCCCTCCTGCCCACCCAAACTTTTGCTTTTGGGTTGGACTTTTAGACAGCTGTACACTGCCTCTCCAGGGGCAGGACAGAGCTCCTCTAATGACTGTCGATCTCCTTTCCTTCCAGCTCCCAATAACATGTATTCATTTTAACTCTGGGTGCTGGTGAAGGCTTTGGTAAGTACCCCATCACAGCAGGTCGTATAATCTCTCTCCACACTTTTTGTTCCCCACTTCGCCATTT